CTTTCTGTTCTTTGAACACGTCGGGCTGTCCCTGCTGCTTTTGGATGCAGTAAGCGAAAATCTACTATTTCAGTAACAACCAGACATTTATGCCGGGGCCACTGGGAACTGTTTGTGGCACAAAGAAACCCCTGTCAGGGCTGTTGGCAGCCAACGCGCTTGCGGAGAATGGTAAATCCGTATTGGAGAGCGAGGACCTCTTGGCTGTGGGAATGGGGAAGAGCTCCCTCTTCCTTGGGCTGGTAACTTTGTCAGGAGGCACGTAGCTGTGCTCCGATTCACGTTTCTGCTCCTCCCCAGCTCTGTTTCACTATGTAGAACAGGAAGGAACTGAGGGGTAGAAATGGAGCAAAACAACCCACCCTATCGCCCGGTCTTCGTGCTGAAAGCAACCCTGAAGCCTGACAACAGAATTATCCTCACTCCAACCCTCTCCAGCATAGGTTAGTCATTCTTAAATTATCCCCCGTAGCTGCCCCTTCCTCCCAGGTACCTGCTGACGTGGTATAACCCACAGCTTTACTTCTAGTGCCGAACCAGGTCTCTGATTTACGCGTGCCACAGAACAGCAACCCTTGCATGAAATATGTCTGGGCACATTGTTTTATCGCGTGTGGTCTGACTTCCTGCAGTATCGCTTCAGCGGTCCATCTGCTGCAAGACTGAGAAAAGGATGGGAAAACGTGGCTGACACTTGGCTTTCCCAGGGCTCTACTGCCCAGTTGCCAGGACAAACCCTGTGGCAATGTAAGTGTTTTTAGAATCATAGAATCATGGAATGGTTTGGGTGGGAAGGGACCTTAAAGACCGTCTAGTTCCAACCCCCCTTCCATGGGCAGGGACACCTTGCACTAGACCAGGTTGCGCCAAGCCTCATCCAGCCTGGCCTTGGACACTTCCAGGGAGGGGGCATCCACAGCTTCTCTGGGCAACCTGTCCCAGTGCTCCCCACCCTCTACGGGAAGAATTCCTTCCTGATACCTAATCTAAATCTCCCCACTTTCCATTTAACCCTGTTACCCCTTGTCCTGTCACTACAGGCCCTTGGAAGAAGTCCCCCCCAGCTTCCTTGCAGAAGCCCCATCGAGGGGAGAAGGGGCAGAACCCCAGCTGCCCCGTCGCTCTGCTGACACCCTCATGCCCAGCTGGTCAGGCAAGCTGGCAGAGGCGCTTGTGCGGTT